TTTATAGGACAAGACAGATCAGATCATCTATATTCATGAATCACAATCTTGCTCACCTTCTCATGTTTTAAAGATTACAATGTGGAAAAAGTTAGGATTCTGTTTTGAGACATATTATTAACTTCCATGCATTTGTTTTTGCTTGTTTTTTTAAGAAACATAAAAATGACTTTGCAACACAACTGGAAAGTGCTTGTTTTTAGCTAAATCTGCTGTTAAACCTGAATGTTCCATTATATGGTTTGATGTAGTTCTGAGAAACTAATTATAAATTGCTAAATTAAATAAACATTCAATGAACCTCTGACATAAGGCAAAGATGAGTCTGGTTTGAAGAGTTATCAAGTCAAAAAAAATTCAAGTAAGATCTATACATATAAGCAGGATTCAAAGTTTGTTTAAGAGCAAATATGTTTAAACTCAGTTATTATTTATTTATTTATTTACCATATTTACATATTGCTTTTCTCAGCCCTAAGGCAACTCAGGACGGTTTACATTCAACACAATTCAATGCCCCCAACAACATAAAAACACTTAAAAACATTAGCATATAAATTATAAATTCATATAAAATCAATAAAAACAATAGAAACATATATCCTCAACGTCTCCTTACTAAAATCATTATTCAATCACACCAGTCATTCCATGGGTCTATCTCTGCTTGTTACATTACATTTGCAAATGCCTTCTCAAAAAGCAGGTCTTTTTTGCAAAATGTTAAGAGAGAGGGGGCCAATCTAATATCCCTGGGAAGGGCATTCCACAGCTGAGGGGCCACCACTGAGAAGGTCCTGTCTCTCATTCCTGCCAAACACAACTGTGAAGAAGGCAGGATCGAGAGCAGGGCCTCCTCAGACTATCGTAAAGTCCTAGATGATTCATAAGGTGAGATATTACAATACAACCCTCATATCCAAGACCTCCTGTGGATACCTGAAATAGAAACACCTATAGTTTGACAATACTTGTAGTTCTTAAAATTGCACGGAAGAACCTAGAGAGATACACAAACAATTCCAGAGGAGAATATTTTTGGAGCATGGATAAATGAAACCATAGATATCAAATTCATTGATAAAGGGATCAAGCTTTCACCAAGGACTTTGGGACATGTTAGACTCTGGGAGAGTTTGGTGGAAATAATTAATAACTTTCACAAGCCAAATCTATGGTCATAGTAATTTTTCCTTGCATGGAAAAGGAACAAAATGCAGGAAGATGAGTTACTGAATGCAAAAGAATGCTACATGTCAGACTCCTTTGGGAATATAAATGGGCCATCTTATATCCTAATAGTTCTGATGAGTTAGATAGAAGATGCTAAAGAAGCAAAGATACCAAATATCAAGGCAGAAAATCCTACAATATCTGCTTTGAACTGGGATATCCAAGTCCACACTGCCATATATTCCAGTTCAAAGCAGATAATGTAAGACTGCAGGCATTGGAAGAAAGCGCATCAGTGCTCTGTGACTTGTGTAATCACCACCTGGCACCAAAATAGTTCCAGGGTTTCCCATATAGTGATCTCATAGAAAAACCACTTTCTTCTGTAATGGTTTTGAAACTGTAGTAAATGGTCAGTTTAAATGTGCCCATAGAAGCTGGAAACTCTGCACACAAAGTACAATTATACCTGGAAGACAGTGTGGTACAATCTTCTCCTTTTTCAAAACTCTCTTCTTAATGAAAATGCACAACAACAAGGATTAACAAAGGACAGTCTTCCATATGTTGTTGGAGAGCAAACCCCATCAGCCACAGCTATCATAGCCACAGGTTTGCACTACAACAACATTTCGAAGGCCATCTTACCCATTCGTACACTACAGTAATGTCTTTTCAGATAATGTTTCATATTATTTGCGCATTCCTATTAGCCCTGGCCTTCTGCCTTTCTCATAGCCATTTTAAGTTCAAAACCGTACATCTAATGGCTTTATGGAAACAGATCCACCAAGCATCATGCGTGTATCCATTCTGGAGACATCTAATCCAGTAGATTACTGACCCAGTGTTCAGGAGGGGGGGGGACTAGCCCTTGAACAAGAGGAATTGAAGGCTTGTTTACAATCACTTCTCACTGACACCTTCTAGCTTGATCATAGAAAAACTAATACACCTAATCCACGCCCCCTTCCACACAGCTGTATACAATCCACATTGAACTGGATTGTATTGCAGTGTGGACTCAGATAACCCAGTTCAAAGCAGATATTCTGGATAATCTGCCTTGAAAATCTGGGTTATTTGGCAGTGTGGAAGGGCCCCCTGTCTCTCAATTACACCTCCAATTAATTGCTCATGTAAACAAGACCACAGTTAGTAGCAATACACTTACAGGCCAGGAGGGGTGCTCATCACCTCTGTGCTAAAACATTGCTCATTTGCTCATTCTCCCCACTTTAATCCTAATGTGTTAAACACAAACATGGCAAAGGGGCAACATTTCTTCTGAAGACCAGTGTTGTTGTGGAGGGTGTTGCCAGGGAACCATACACAAAAGAGCAGTTTGCAAAGCTACAAAAACACACTTTACATGCAAATATTTTTTTCAAGGATAACTGGAAGGCATTCAGACAATGTACTGTGTGATACAGGAAGTGCAACTGAGAACAATGCTTCCTTTTTTCTGATATAGGAGAAGATGAAAGGCCCTCCCTCCATCCCAAGTGCCAATGCCTAGGCAGAGACAGTATCTGCTGGACTTAATCCCTCCCCAGGTGTGGCTACACTGTAGAATTAATACATTTTGACACCACTTGAACTTATTTTTTGTCAGGAGCAACTTGAGAAACTGCAAGTTGCTTCTGGTGTAAGAAAATTGGCCGTCTGCAAGGATGTTGCCCAGGGGGTGCTCGGATGTTTTGATGTTTTACCATCCTTGTGGGAGGTTTCTCTCATGTCCCCGCATGGGGAGCTGGAGCTGACAGAGGGAGCTCTTCCACGTTTTCCCCGGATTCAAACCTCTGACCTGTCGGTTTTCAGTCCTGCTGGCACAAGGGTTTAACTCATTCTGCCACCACTTGAACTGCCATGGGGCAATGCTATGGAATCCTGGGAGTTGTAGTTTGGTGTTTTGTTTGGGGTTTTTTTAATCGTGTCAGAAGCAACTTTTGATAACTGCAAGTTGCTTCTGGTGTAAGAGAATTCGCCATCTGCAGAGACGTTGCCCAGGTGATGGCCGGATGTGTTACCATCCTGTAGGAGGCTTCTCTCATATCACCGCGTGGGAAGTTGGAGCTGACAGACGGAGCTCACTCCATCCCACGGATTCGAACTGCCTACCCAAAGAGACACCAACACTCTTTGGCAGAGAAAGGTAAAGACTTTGTAAAACTACAGCACCCATGATTGCATAGCATTGAGTCATAAAATTGAAAGTGGTGTCAAACTGCATTAATTCTACAATGTAGATTCACCCCCACACTGCCACCTCCCTTTTCTTCATTTTTCGTGCCTTAATTACATTATAAACATTTTTTGTTGGTGGTATTTTACTTGTAAAGCGCCATGTAAAGTGATGGTGTTAAATAGGATTGTCCTCAAACTAAGGCCCAAGGGCTGAATACGGCCCTCCAAGGTCATTTACCCAGCCCACGCTCAGGGTCAACCTAAGTCTGAAATGACTTGAAAGCACACAACAACAACAACAACAACAACAATAATAAATAAATAAACAATAAATAATAATAATAATAATAATAATAAACAATAACAATCCTATCTCATCAGCCAAAAGCAGACCCACACTTCCCATTGAAATACTAACAAGTTTATATTTGTTAAGATTGTTCTTCATTTTAATTAATTGTTTTTAAGTGTTTTTTTGCACTACAAATCAGATATGTGCAGTGTGCATAGGAATTAATTCATTTTTTTTCCAATTATAATCCGGCCCTCCAACAGTTTGGGGGACTGTGACCTGGCCCTCTGCTTAAAAAGTCTGAGGACCCCTGCTTTAGGGCCTCAGACTCAGCTACAAAAACTCTCTGATGACACTAGGTGCATCCATACTGTAGAATTAATCCGGGTTGACACTGCTTTAACTGCCAGGGCTCAATGCTGGTGCCTCACCACACCACAACTCCTAGGATTCCGTAGAATTAAACCCATGGCAGTTCAAGTGGTATCAAACAGCATTATTTCTACAGTGCAGATGCACCCCTGCACTGTAGAATTAATACCAAATTGAGAACACATCTGCACTGTATTATTAATGCAGTTCTATACCACTTTTATTGCCCTGGCCCAATGCTATGGAATCATGGGAGCTGTAATATTACAAGATTTATTTATTTACTTTATTTATTTACAGCCCGAAGGCGACTCACAGCGGTTCACAACAAATAAGAACAGCAAAAATTCAATGCTACAGTGTAAAAACAGTTAACAACCTAACATATTACATAATTAATAAACAATTACTACAATAAAGATAGTTTTCCATCCATCTGAACATGAGGAAGAACTTCCTGACTGTGAAAGCTGTTCAGCAGTGGAACTCTCTGCCTCGGAGTGTGGTGGGGGCTCCATCTTTGGAAGCTTTTAAACAGAGGCTGGATGGCCATCTGTCAGGGGTGCTTTGAACGCAATATTCCTGCTTCTTTTGCAGGGGGTTGGACTGGATGACCCAAGAGGTCTCTTCCAACTCAATGATTCTATGATTAAGGTCTCTAGCCTTCTCTGCCAAAGACTGCTGATGAAGAGAGAATGAACCCCCATGATTCCATAGCACTGATTCCATAGTGGTCCCAAACTGCATTAATTCCACAGTGTAGATGCAAGCTATTGTTGCCTAAACAAAGAAGATGCCAACTTCCAACTTCAATGCAACTTGCAAAAGTTGAATATGTTTCCCAACTTAAACAACCAGCTCCGCAACCCGATCTCGCCCATCAGAATTTCTCCCTAGACGTCACACAGCTCCATTGAGCTTCCTCTAAGTTTCCTCCCAAGGGTCACACTCTCTCAGCCCCCAAGGGCTTCGTTACCTGCAAGGAAGTTGCTGATCTCCGCGGGGAGGGAGGGGCTGCTAGGCATGACGACCCAAAAGTTGGGGCTGGATGTCCCTTTGTGGTCTCTTCCGAGTCTGTGATGCACTTTAGGTGGTCCGGCTGGGCAAGGAGGCAGCTGTCTTTCCAGGGCAGAAAGAGGAACAGCCTTAGCCACGCCCCCTTGCCCGGTGCCGGGAAGCCCATCAATCAAACTACAGAAGAAGGCGGAGCCTATATACTACCAAACACAACCCCGCCTATTAAAGCGGTGTGCGCATGCGCCAAAAAGTGTCGCCCGCCGTACACATTTAGTTATGTTTATCTCGCGCGTGCGCACTCAGCAATATCAGCTAAAGGAGTTTCTCGGCACGTGACCCTCCGCTTTTCTGTCTAAGGCCATTTTGGAACGTTCCCAAATAAAAAATGGCGCCGTAAACGCCACTGCTGCTTCCGCCCTTAAAAGGGTTTTTTTCCTATTGGATGGAACACTTTCGAAATGACTGTTTTGATTGGTTGGAAGCCTTTGGGGTTATATGTATTCTATTTTTGCTCTCTCCGTATTTTTGTTTCCTCGTTTGTGCCTAAGCCACGCCCCCTTGCTCTATTCCAGTTATTGAAGGTGCCCATTGCACACACTTTTATAGCAGTTTGATACCGCGTTAGCTGTCAAGGAGTGCATCCACAATCTTTAACTGCTATGATTCAATGTTATGGATTCATGGGAGCTGTAGTTTTGCAACGCCTTTGCCAAATAGAGGAATACTGGGATTTGTAGTTTTGGTGAGGAATATATAGTTCCCAAATACGTCTTATAGAGAACTGTTTCTGAAAGAGACTACCAATGCCCTCCCCAAACTACAACTCCCAGGATTCCATAGCATGGAGCCATGGCAGTTAAAGTGGTGCCAAACTGCAATAATTGTAGGGTGCAGATCAGTGGTTCTCAACCTGTGAGTCCACACACGTTTTGGCTTCCAACTCCCAGAGCTGGTAAACTGGCTGGGATTTCTAGGAGTTGTAGGCTGGTGTAGGTGCACCCATAGCTGCTTCCTAGAGAATCCTGGGATGCGTAGTTTGATTCATGTTTAGGCTTCTATGTCAAAAGTTCTCCCTCTCTTCTTTTTTTTGTTGTGTCAGGAGCGACTTGAGAAACTGCAAGTCGCTTCTGTGTGAGAGAATTGGCCGTCTGCAAGGACGTTGCCCAGAGGACACCCGGATGATTTTTGATGTTTTTATCATCCTTGTGGGAGGCTTCTCTCATGTCCCCATATGAGGAGCTGGAGCTGATAGAGGGAGCTTATCCGTCTCTCCCCGGATTTGAACCTGCGACCTGTCGGTTTTCAGTCCTGCTGGCACAGGGGTTTAACCCACTGTGCCACCGGGGGCTCCTAATAATGTTATAGTTCAATGCAGTGCTGGGGAATTCTGTGTTCCTCAGCAAATCCCAGAGTTTCTTACGAGTTACTACAGTATTAAAAATAAGCCTAACTACTATTCTCCATACTATACCATATTAGAAACATTGTATTGACTTGATATACACGTTGAAATGCGGTAATTAAAAGCAAGTTAAGAGAAATAAAAATAAACTTAACTCAATGTAACACAGTTTTTGCTTTATTATGAGAACAGCTTTGTCAAAGCAGCATGCAATTTTAGGTTTTAAAAAATTAGTTGCTTGAGAACTCCAATTACTGAATGCCAGTTAATTACACTAAGTATCACAATTTTTTTGCATCGTTACCCCAATACCCCCATGCATATGGGATATATTGAGCATGGTGATCAGATCATGATATGAATAAACATAACAGTTTAAATAATGTACCAGTAAGGCCTTCTTGCGGACCACCATGAGAGTTTTTGGGGGGGGGGGGGGGGTTAAGCCCCCCCGCCCCCCCCCCCCCGGCTACATGCCTGGTTGTAAATAAATAAATTATATGGCAGACCCATATCATCCAGTTCAAAGCAGATAATCCGGATTAAGAAACTGGATTATGTGGCAGTGTAGATCCAGCCTGAGAGTCTACTGTAGATGGAGCCTGAGATATGCAGTTTTAAAGTATTGGTGCCCCCTCAACTTGACTCATCTGATTACAGTATAATTATTGTTTCCTTGCTTCCCCCACCCCCTCCAATTTTAGTGTGCTATTGCTTGGGAAAGCCGCCCTCCGTGTCCTCAGGGGACCATAGAAATTTGAGAGGCTCTTGCCTCTTAGTGTCAGAAGGAAACAAATTCTGATTTGAAAAAAAAAATCAAATTGCATTAGTGTGTAGATGCTCCTTAAGTAAGCATAACTGTAATAATCACCTATTCCTGCTATTTATTTATTTTCTGCCCCTTTCCCCTCTTTGGGCATGGAAAATGTGCTTAGTGAGAGTTCTAGGCTAACATTTGTTACCCCACTTACTCTAATACCATTTCTAATGGTGTCATATGGCAGGCTTTATTCCTCCCCCTGCACCACTTGACACCTTCTTGCTGCTGCACTTCTTAAAAGAAAGTGATAGTGATATAGACTTACATGGATATAATCCAGCAAGGCATTTGCAGTATTTCACTTTACGTTCCCTAGTGCAAATACTCAGAACCACTTAAAGCAAATAAGCTGTGATCTCTCTGAAAGCATCCTCAGGGTATAGTCTTGTTTTGAGCAGGTAAACTTTAGAACACATAAATTTGCTCATTTAAATTGGACTGATATCTCAGTTTTAACAGCCTTATGCAGGGTGCATCTACACTGTAGAATTAATATGGTTTGGCATCACTTTAATTGCAATGGTTCAATGCTATAGAATCCAGGGAGTTGTAGTTTGGTGAGACAGAGAAGGCTAAAGACCTTGCAAAACTACAAACCCATCGTTCCATAGCATTGAGCCATGCAGTTAAAGTGGTGTCAAACCACTGATTCTACAGTGTCGATACACCCTAAGACAATACTTCCAGTGTTGAAATCATTTCAATTATACGTTAAAGAGATAACGGCTAAATTTCTGTCCCTTAAGGAACAATAAGCACATTTCTTTCTAGTTTTCCTTTCTAAAACCAGCAGTTTAGGACTTCAAATGTAATACGTAAAATATAATATTTGTAACACAGTAGATGGGATTGTTTGTATAAAGCATGATAGCAGAACCTCTATTGTTTTCCTTATAGAGAGAAATGCATAAAGAGACTTCTTTTTTATTCTCCTGCTAGGATGTATTTTTGAGATGTCTGGAAAGGCTTGAATGTCATTCTTCTCTCCAGTGAACTCTTTTGAGGTTTCTTGTTTTAAAGCGGGTTCTGCTATATGGCATTTTAGGTAACCTGTGTTCTGGCTAAATAAAGAGGACACAAGTTCTCTGCATTTCGTGGACTATGTTTTGGTACCCTTCTTCCACTTTTTATCTTTAATTAGACAAGAAAGCTCTTTCAGATAGCAGTAGTATTTTATTATCCATTTTATTGCTGGAATAACCAACATTCAGGCAGTTAAGTAACTGGCCCGTATAATGTCATACAATAATGGTAGCTGTGGGTTATATAACAGTTTTATATTTGTGTTAATTGTTAATAAATGCCTATTCTTTCTGCCTAGGGAATATTTGCTCTCTGTTTGTGTCTCTCTCCAATAGTTATATTGGCTATTAATATGTACTTGAGGTTGCACATTTCAGTCAGAAGACACCGGAAACATGTATGTACATAATAGGTTAACAAGGAAATAGTATGCAATCCAGTGCCTTTGACCTTTGGGGCTAATCTTAATCCCACTTTATTTTTTTAGTTTAATTTACTGTTCAGCCTCTCCTCAGAAGCCAATTTAGGGTGTCATTTGAACTAACAAATACTCTATTTACACAGAAATTACTTTCCCTGTTGACATTATTATAACTGTTCCCTGCATGAAGGAAAGCGTTCCGAAGTAAATTGAAAATACTCCAATAAAAAGCAAGCACGCTTTCAAAATGGTTTGGCGATCACAGCTTAAACGGCTCCAGCAACAATTCAGTTAAGTGGCAACTTAAACCAATTTATTGCCATGAAAATTCATGAAAAGAAATTGGGTTAAATCCATTAAATCTTTCTTAACTTGCATGTGGATTAGTCTAGCAGCCTGAGCCTAAGGGAATCTCCAGCAGATTCCTACCATACTTCAACCAGTGAAAACTAATAAGCATGCCATTTCCATCTGGCATCCAGTGTTGTGTTGTGTTGTGGCTGGATGTTTGCCCCATGGGCTCTTCTGTGCAGAATATATTCACAGTTCTTTCATTCTTCCTGTGCCGTTTATGAACAACAATTAAAAAGAAAATACTGACAGTGCTACATTACAATGGTAGGCTGTATTGACAGATGTGCAGTAGAGTTTTGTGTGATGTATGTCCTATGCCATGACGGGCAATGTGTGGTCCTCCAGATGTATTGCTGTAATGTCCATCATCTCTCACCACTGTCAAGGCTGGCTAGGGCTGATGGAGGTTGTAGTATACCACAAAACATCTTAGTAGACCACAAGCCAATGTGATTTGAGGCTGCATCAATAGCGTAGTGTCTAGATCAGGCATCCTCAAACTATGGCCCTCCAGCTGTTTTTAACTCCAGCTCCCAGAATTCCTGACCATTGAACAAGCTGGCAAGGGCTTCTGGGAGTTGGAGGCCCAAACAGATGGAGGGCCACAGTTTGAGGATGCCTAGTCTAGATCAAGAAAGTCATAGGCCCACTCTGTTCTGCTTTGGTCAGTCCCCATCTGGAATACTGTGACCACTCCTGGGCCTAGCAATTCAATTGACAAACTTAGGACCTCATCATACATATGTAATGTATTATTGTTTTTATGTTGATGTATTTTATATTATGTATTTTAGGTATAGCATCTTTGTGTGCTATTTTGTAAGCCACCCCAAGTCCTTATGGGAGATGGTAGTGGGATATAAATAAAGTTTTATTATTTATTATTATACGTGGCAAGCTTCACAAGCAACTCCAACTGTGCAGCAGCTTTGCCACAGAGCCCACCGGCTCCCACTACACGTTGGAGTACTTCTGGGGCAGTTCCATGGTAAAACTGTGGTGGAATCAGAGTCATAACCCAAAAAAGCCGCTGCCAGCAACACAGGAGGYTTCCTGTGTTGCATTGCCCTCAATGGGGCAAGATAGCCGGCAGACACTTCCACCCATGTGATGAGGGAGGGAGGAAGCCAGAATGGTGTGAGRTGTGGGGCAGTAGGTCCCCATACTTCCTGGGTGGGCA